ATGAGAAAAAAGATAAATAGGATAGAAAGTTTCTCATTGAACAACTCTTTAGTTCTTCCTTTAATATATATATATATATATATATATATATATATTTCACCTTATGAAATCAAACACGAGTTTCATCTATATGTTATTTAACCACATGAAATCAAACACCATTTTCGAAAACAAAAAACTCCAAATATGTTACAAAGCCGATTTATCGATTTGTGTAGCAAACAAAAAAGAAAGAGCAACCCTATATAAAAAACAAAATCCACTAAAACATAACTTCCTGTTACTTCATTAAAAAGTTTGATTCAGAGGAAAAAGAGAGGCAAAAATTGAAACATAAATATCATTTGATTCGTATCAAAAATACTAAACCAAATAGAAAACATTAAACCAAACGACCCTGAAATTCATATATGAGAAACCAAATCTCAACTTGAGGGTAAAATCGATCTGTAATCCAGAGGTTGAGAGAAAGGCAAGGGAGGGGGGGGGGGGGATCCAGGGACCTCCGTTTGCAAAAATCGTCATCAAAGAGTGCAACACTTGAATATGTAAGATCAAAACAAGAAACTGAGAGCCTATCACAAGCAAAGGATCTTACCCTAATCTACAATCGACTCAAATGCATCTGTAAAAAAACCAGAAACATCAAACATTAGTTCAAGAACATCACGAAAACAACTTTTTCCTCTCTCGATCAAAATATTTCAGAAAAACAAAAGATTTTTTTGTAGAAAATGTAAAACCCCAATGAGAAATTAAGGAAACAAAACTAGAAAACATACCAAAAAAAAACTTCACAGATGACGAGTTTGATTTGTTTACGAAGATGACAATACTGAAGATAAATCATTAAGTCATACTTTTGTTAAACTTTTGATGACTAATGTAGATATACTGGTAATTTGGGACCGTATTTTGAGACATGTTATCTCCGTTTGTGGTTATGTAATTATCTTTTGGTAAATTTTATTAGCTGATCTGTTTTATATAATGCGTTGTTTTTTTTTCTAAATCAGTTGTGGCATCTCCCGTCTTTCACCACGCGGGACGAGAGTGTTACAAGTTGGAAAAAGTTGAGAGAGTGAAACCGCCTCTTGCATACATATGTATATGTATTTTTATTTTCTTTTATTTAATTATATTATATATATATATATATATATATAAAGTTTAACCATTTGACGACTTTAACCCTTCAAGTTTAGATTCTTAAATTTATGCTAATATATGTATAAACTCAAATCTTGACACAAAACTAGTCTAATATACAAGTTGGTTAAACATAGGGTAGAATTATGCATATTATATGGGAGTTCCATATCGTCAATAGTTTCCGGTGATGAAGATGGTTGTCGGCGATGGAGATGGTCGCTGACGATGGTGATGGTTTTTAATGTTGGGATATGGGGCGTATGGGGGAGAAGATGAACTCATGAAGGATGGGATGAGGTATCTAATTTGAGATCAATCTCAAATTACAAGTTTGCCCTGGAACCTTTAAATTAGATGTGAGATTAGATCTCACTTTTACAGATATTACAAAAAATGCCACCATGTTTAATGACCTTTGATTAAAACTCTTGGATGATTGAGGTTGGTTCTTACAACTTACAGTCCTCAACATTTTTTTGGTCCTCATATAATCTAACTCCTATATATGTGGGGTTTTTATTTTTTAAAAAGAAAATGATTTAGAAAATACGAAGGGGCCAAATTGCCCCACACTTAGCATATGACATTAATAGTTGTTAGTGGTAGGAATTAAAACGTTACAAAAATACAAAATCTAGGGCTATTTTGGAATTAAAAAACTGTAGGAACCAAATTCAAGGCAAATTTAAATCACATGGACCAAATATGTAATTAACTCTAAAAGATATAATACTCTGAAGTATTTGTTGAATAACATAAACATATCAAATCAATCGTATGTAGATCAAGGTCATATTATTTGTTCAAAAACTTATTGCCTAAAACATAAATAGATCATTCAGTAATTCTTGGTGATGTATGTTCACGTTTATACTTATGAGTTTATTTCTATAATCCAAAAATCGCATATAGAAGATTTGACAGAAATACTTAGGTGGGGATATCATCAACCCAGTCAATGTTCTTTTTTGCTGAAGTTATCGTTCCCAAAATATAGAGCCTCCTAACGAAATAAGCACTCAAATTATAAAAGATGGGTACCAGGTAGATTAAGTGCATCCAGGAAAACTCAAGAGATCCAAAGACGTTGCCATTACTATCTATCATTTGCTAAAAGTTGTGATTCTGTGTATTACACACGCTAGTGTTATAATTATATCTGCTTGTACACCTTAGATACTGAATTCGCTATATGTTTTTGAAAGATATCTTCATATCTGCCATTTCTAGTGGTGCATTGACCACATATTGAATTACTTAGTAAAACTAGTCGGTTTACACACTTCAAGGCTAATCTGCCATTTCTAATGGTGCATTGACTACATATGGTGCACATGTTTTTTTTTTTCAAATTATGATACATTATCATCAACAAAAGTTCTAAGAAACAAACCCCATAGGTTTTGTAACTCATGATTTCAAATTACTAGGAACAACACATAATTAAAATCCATGTGTTGTCTAATACATGATTCTTCCATAATGCGCTTTTCAAACCTAAAATAGACCTACAACATGTATTAACGCATCATTCAGTAGTCGTAAAGCATGTACATACATACAAATACGTACCATTCAAATATCATTTAGTATATACAAGACCATGATAAATGCATAATCTACCTTTTCTATGTCATCACAAGGCTTCCTTTCAGGCACATGGTAAGTGTTCCCTAACATGCCATCCTTCGATATGATTTCTAATTGGCGAAAATATTGCAATGCACACCTTTGCCCTTAGATGTGTTATTTTTCTTATGCCAATTTGTATCGTTTCCTCAAAATAAGACGTAATCGTTTCTATACATATGTTAAGGCCACCTGTTTTTCGAAGGGTATGAAGTTGGTCTCCCGTTATATTAATCTTTTTCATTCCCCATTGATTCCTTCATTTGGACTTCTTATATATATATATATATATATATATATATATATATATATATTACTAATCTACCCCCTCACTCTTACGATTGCAATCTTTCTTCTAGTCTCAGGGGGTGTTTGGGATTGCTTATTATATCTGCTTATTGACTTATTTCAGTCTGGCACCGGTTATAAGCTAATACCTAGTGTTTGGATAAGAAAAAAAAACTGCTTATACCGGTGCCAAACCGGTAATAAGCAATTTTTGATAAGTTAATCCGTCCTGACTTATGAAAAACTGCTTATTACCAGTTTACAATTTTAACCCTATTATCCTGTATACCTATCTCTTTTCCTCCAGATAACATCGATCTCAATCTTCTCCCTTCTTCAGATAACAACATCAATCTTCTCCCTGTCCTTTTTTGTAATTTTACAGATATAAGCAAAATTTGCCAAACACTAAAAAACAACTTATCAGCTTATTGCAGTTTGGTACCACTATAAGCWAATCCAAACACTTTTTACAAAACTCCGGTTTGATACCACATAAGTTAATAAGCACTTTTACAAAAAAAACATAAGTTCTTTTAAATAAGCAATCCCAAACACCCCCTCAGTTGAACACAACTTAATTGCTAATTCAATATCCCCTACGAATCCAAACTCTTGGGAAATAATGTAAGTTGGTTTCAACCCGCCAACTTCAATTATGGAATTTTGAATCAGGGATTTCTTTTTCTCCATGAGGTATTTAGTTAAGCTAATTTTGATCTAATACATAAATCTTCAACATATACCTATTTAAGAATGCCCGGATTTCCTTTTAGGCTAATCTATACTTTCTTGAGTTATGTTACTGTATCTGAAGACGCTAACATATAAATAAGTGGCATCCACATCCACCTCACCCTCAAATGGTATCCCTTCATAGTAATTTCACCGAATTAACGTTATTGAATGAACTTTCCTTATTAGACCAAAGTGTTTTGAAGCAATATAAATATATCACTTTTATATATAACTGTTATGCGAAACCAACATATACCTTAGTTCTTTTCATTTGATTACATGAATATATACACTAGATAAGTATTAACCATCATAGATTTGTGTAATTTGCAAAATTAATGTACTTTGCAGATTGTACATAGAACAAGAAGTTAAATATTCATCTGACAACAACCCTTTATGACATTAGATTCAATAACTTGTTAATCACACACTGATGAAATGAAAATTCAACCAGTTCCACAAATAAGATACACCACCACTTCTATACATCTCTAAGGTAATCCATTTACCTGAATGATTAAAAATGTAACTGAAAATGTGCACATGAAGGTTTCATACAGCTCTATCGTGTTCACAACCAATCCTTCTAGTTTTATGCTCCAAGTATCCAAGATATTGAAAACCCTGGATCTGGTTTAGTCTCTGCATGATTCTCTCTTTATATTTCTTTCTGTGTCTTCATAAGATACTGGTTATAGTTGTTCGAAAATATGCCTCACAAAGCTTATTAATAGGATAAATATCAATAATACTATAGCAGTATTAATATACATTTAACAGTTTTACTCAATCTGGTAAATCTTATGGTAAAATAAAGCTACATATGCTTAGATAGCCGTTAACCGATCAAAACAAACGTATTACATGAAACACCAATCGATTAAACCCGTTACTTACATAGAATCTAGTGACCATTATATTATATATTTAAAAAAGTCGGTATCTTTTCCGTTATATCGTCAACAAAATTGTGCGGAAAATTGGTTAAAATAAGGGAATGATAATCTTTGTATAAATAGCATCTTAATTGTGTAGAAAAAACATAATCTTGAAAGTTAGAAACGAAATGTAAATGAAAAATGGGCCAAGATTATATAAAATGGAGGTTCCCTCAACACCCCACCTCCGTTTTGGCCTAAATTACCCTAACACCCCACCTCCATTCGCCAAAGACAAAAATTCTTTCTACGAGTCGGGGGGGGCATATATCAAATAGGGAGCGACCTCTGAAAGTTTATTTCTGTGAAACACCCATTTTCACTTTTCAAAATTTTGTATGAATTCCTCTCTCAATAGCACGCGACGGAGTATGTTTTTGCTTCGACCCACCTTATTCTATCATCTCAAAGACGATGATTGTTAATCTGCGCCACTTCGGGACAGCCATTAAAGCTCTTTGTCTACAGGTCTGATTGTTGCTCTTTAGTGAAGATGTTTTTTTGTTGAGAATTGAATTTGTGACAATCATTTGTTTTTGTGGTTTTTGTATGCATGTATAGGTCATTTGTACACTACATAATGCACAAGTGTTAAATTGTTAGGGATTCTGATTGAAAGCTAGTTATGATTTTTTGAATTGTTGAAGAAATTTGAGGTTTTGTATGGGAGATGAGTGTTGGTTTCTTGGTATTTGATAAATGGAATGTGATGGTAAGGAACCCAGATCAAATCAAGAGTTGTTGCAAATTGGGCTAGACAAGGAAATTGGGTTAGGGTTTGATGTAAGTTCTGCTGTTAGGAAAACTAGGGTTGAGAAGATGGATGTGGAGAAATTGGGGAAAAAGAAAAGATCTGCTGAAATTAAAAGTGGGTTAGATTCAGATGATGATGAGCCGATAGGCTCGATGTTTAATATTAAAAGTAGAAGGAACCCTAAGAAGGTTAAGGTGGAAAGTGATGGTGGTGTAGACAAGGTTAAGAAGGTGGAAGATGATGGGTCTCAAGATCAGGAATTGGGTGGTATGGATGACACATTGGCTAGTTTTAGGAAGAAATTGAAGGGCCCAAAGGAGTCTAGGGTTCGTGCAACAAAAGGGGGGGATTTGGATACCAATTTGAAGGAGTCAGTCAGTCGATCTTCAATTGGGGCTGTGAAAGATGTAGATTTGACTGAAAATTTGGTGTCAAAGAACGTGGCTAAAGGACAGATCAAATCTGAGGATGGAATTGTTGAGAGTGTCAAGAAAGGGTCAAAAAGCAGTGGTAAAGAGAAAAGCAAGAGATCCAAGAGTAAATCGGTGAGGAAGAAGGCTTTGGGTATCACCAAGTTTGATGATGTTTTAGATGGTCAGAGATCTGGTGAGAATTCAACACAAAACGATAAAGAGGGTGGTGTGGAGCTTGAAGGAGATCTTGACCCCTGTTTGGACGATCATTTAGAAGATTCATTATCAGTTTTTCTCCGCAAGGCACAATCTGGTTCGCTTCAGAAAGCTCGCAGCTCAAAACTTAAGCAGGTTAAGACGACTCAAGCTCGTAATGATGGAGTGGCGCCCAGTTCAAACTACTGTCAGGATGGGATTGAGAAACATCAGAAGTCAAATGATCAAGTGCATGAGTCGTATACTGTTCCAGTTTTAACAGCTGAGAAATCGCCACATGATGGATCTACCCAGAGGATCCTAGAGGATAAGGTTCCTGTTACATTACCTGAAACATCTGCATCCTGTTCAAAGTATCCTGGCAAGAGTCAAAGACTAGAAGAAGATGAAAGATTAACAGACCACCCTAATAAAGATCCTACAGGAAATAATGGTTTTCAGGAAGATTCAAATCATTCCTTCTCCCCGATAGCAAAGTTAGCTCATGATCTTTCTGAGATTGAAGTTCATGAAAAAAAGTTGGAGCCTGCCTGTCCTATCCCTGAGAGTGTTCCAATCGGAGGATTCATTGACAGTTTGGAAGAACAGTCGAAAGTTGTTTTAAAGGGCCCCATATCAACCACAGACCAGAAGATATCACTATTCCCTTCTCCAAGCTCGTTAGGTCATAATGAGAACTTGAATGATGATTTGAAGCCTGCTGGTGCGGTTGTTTTGGACCAGTTGCAGAACGGTTCGCATAGTACTCAACCCCACTCATTGTCTTCTGCTTTCCAGCTACCACAAAAGGAAGTCACTTCCAGTGACTGTGATAGTCCGAACCAGATTCAGGGTACTTGCACAGAAGACCCCGACGTTGTTTCAGTTTCTTCACAGAAGGAGAATGCATCAGCATCAAACGGTAGGTTATCTCCAGTGTCGTTAGGTGAATGCAATAAATATGCAGATGAGGAGACTCCATCAATAGCCACAGATCAAAATGAAGCTTATGCAAGCGACACTGGATCTATGCCTGATCCTGAAACAAAAGGCAATAAGCAATCAGCTGGCAAGCGTATCGTCAGACAAGCTAAGAGGTATAGGCATGAGGATATGGCTTATGAGGGAGATGCTGATTGGGAGATACTGATTCATGGACAAAATTTCCTTGTGAACCATCAAGATGGAGACAAGGCACTGTCATTTAAAACAAGGGGAAAATCAGATTTCTTGCAAACAATTGCCATGGAGGCAGAAAGTGGAGGGGTAGCAGCTGTTTCGGTTGGACTGAAAGCACGCGCTGCTGGTCGTGTTGAGAAGATTAAGTTCAAGGAATTACTGAAGCGTAAAGGCGGGCTTCAAGAATATATAGAGTGCAGGTGCGCCTCTATTAAAACTGGGTTTTTAATTTCTTGTAATGCACTACTTTGGTTCACTTTACCATTACTGGCCGTTTTATCATTCTATATGCATGTCTTTGTTTCTCATAAATCCTCAAACAGCAAAGCTCGCAACATGTTTGCTATATTTGGGTTTGGGTAAGACCTGCCATGTTTTGGAGACATTCTGCGAGAGAAATTGGGAACAATTATATTCAAAACTAAACTGCATTCATTTGTAGAGGTTAAGATCTACGGACTTTCAGCATATCCTCTTAAACCCTGTATTGCATTTCTTTTTATCCAGAAGCTAAATAATATTTGTAACGACACATCTCTTTTGTTAAGTTGTAACAATTTCTCTTTTTCTTTTTCTTCTTGTAATACATGCATTGTGTAGAAATCAGTACCGGAGCAACTAAGGTTACTCCTTTCTGACCAAAGGTCATAGGTTTGAGCCACAGAAACATCCTCTTTGCAAAATGCAAGGGAAAGGCTGCATCCAAGAATCCCTAAGCCAAGAAGTCCTGATGGATGCTGTGCTACCCTTATTTCGCAACTCCTTAAGGTGTATTATATGACTCCCAAAAGTTTTTGCACATTCCCAGGAATTCTAAAGACCTTCATATTGTATAGAATCGATATCACGATTCTTTCTTTGGATAAAGACAATGGCATCACCATGCATTACTACTATCCAGTAACTTGGATATGGCATCTTCTTATTGCAATATAATGGTTGTCAGCTGATGCCTGATAGACAGAGATGCTATATTAAAGAACTACTTGAAAGCTCTAGGTATCCTCATAGCATTTTGCAAGTCTTTCATGACTGTTCTCTTGCAATGAGTTGCAAAGTTATCCAAAAAGTCTCCTTATATCAACGCATCAATTGTTTACTTTCCAAATGTTGACTTTATCATGACAAGATACTTTCAAGAAATCTCTCTATTCTCATGGAACAACTTGTGCTTGCAACATTGTGATGCACATTTGAATGCAAGCATATACGATATCTGCTGATGAATCCAATTTTAGGTCAGTTTATGGTCTTTAATTCCGTTAGTATAAGGGGAAGTGAACTGGGTAGTGACAATTCTCTCTTTTCAAGATTTCAACATGTAACACATATTTTCTTTAAAAAAAAGTAGAAGGTATCATATCATTGCTAAGAAACCGACGTCTTATGTGCTTTTGCTTTTTCTTTTTGTTGGTTTTTGTAATGTCGTTTCACTTGCTGCAGGAATCATATTCTACATCTTTGGAATAAGGATGTAACTCGCATATTGCCTCTGTCGGAATGTGGAATATCTGATACTGCTGTCGTGAATGAACATCCACAGGCTTCTATGGTTAGGGATATTTACTCATTTCTGGATCAATATGTAAGTTCTGTAGATTTCACTTGTTCATTATAAACTATAATTCCCTTCTTTGCTTGCCAACATTTCTGGTTTGCTTGGATGCTTTCTCTCACAGTGCTGATTTTCTAGTCGTTTGTGGTTTTTACTCAAATCTGTTTGGCCTTTTCAGTTTCTAACAATTTATTCTACAGGGTTACATAAACTTCGGAGTTGCTTCTAAAAAGGAGATGTCTGATGCTGGTGTGAAGCCCAATTTCAGGCTTTCAGGAGAGGAGAATGATGGAAGAAAATCTGGAGCCCCTGTTACCGATTTGGATGATGGAGTTTCCTTTATCCTTGGTAGGACTAAAAATTACCATGCCTTGACAGATGAGAAGGGTGACACTTTACTTAACAATGAAAATGAAGCAGCAACAGAAAGTTTGGACGGGATCGTTAAAAAAGATAAAGGTGCTCCCATTTCCTCCATGGAGATGGAATGTCAAGAGCATTCACCTTGTGAATGCGTAGAAAAGGATTGTCATGGTGGAAAACTACCCAACAATCTTCTGAGCTCAACTTATACTGAAGCAGAGGATGGCCAATCTGCTTCGGTTGATCAAAAGGAGCCAACTGTCTGTATGCAGTGTGCTTCAGAAACAAGAAAGAAAATCATTGTAATTGGAGCTGGTCCTGCTGGATTAACTGCTGCTCGACATTTGCAGCGTCAGGGTTTCCATGTTACGGTGCTAGAGGCCAGGGATAGAATTGGTGGTCGTGTTTTTACAGATCGTTTGTCCCTTTCAGTGCCCGTAGATCTTGGGGCTAGCATTATCACAGGTGTTGAGGCTGATGTCACTTCTCAAAGAAGACCAGATCCTTCTTCATTGATTTGTGCACAGTTGGGTCTTGAACTGACTGTTTTGAACAGTGACTGTCCTCTCTATGATACCGTCACAGGTAAGAAAGTTCCTCCGGATTTGGATGAAGCTTTGGAGGCTGAATACAATAGCCTACTTGATGACATGCAATTGGTTGTTGCCCAAAAGGGAGATCATGCAATACGAATGTCCCTTGAGGAGGGTTTAGAATATGGACTTAAGATGCGGCGGAATTGTATAGAGCATGCGGTACATAAATCAGATATGGTAATGGGATCTGAGAAAAGTAGTACCAAAGAGGAGATCTTGAGTCCTCTTGAAAGGAGAGTCATGGATTGGCATCTTGCTCATTTGGAATATGGTTGTGCTGCTTCACTACAAGAAGTATCTCTTCCGCATTGGAATCAAGATGACATTTACGGAGGATTTGGCGGAGCTCACTGCATGATCAAAGGGGGTTATGGTGCTATTGTTGATTCTCTTAGAGATGGACTTCATATCCACCTGAACCATATGGTTACTGATGTTTGCTATCAAGCAGAAAATCATGGAAAAGATGAGTCACAGAAGAGAGTTAAAGTTTCTACAGAAAATGGCAAGGATTTCACAGGAGATGCAGTTTTGATCACAGTGCCACTTGGATGTCTAAAAGCAGAAACCATAAAGTTTTCTCCATCATTACCCCAGTGGAAATATTCTTCCATTCAACGACTTGGTTTTGGTGTGCTTAACAAAGTTGTTTTGGAGTTCTCTGAAGTTTTTTGGGATGATTCTGTTGATTACTTTGGAGCCACAGCAGAGGAAACTGATCAAAGGGGTTGGTGCTTTATGTTTTGGAATGTCAAGAAAACAGTTAATGCACCTGTTCTTATAGCATTGGTGGTCGGCAAGGCAGCAATAAATGGCCAAGACTTAAGCCCGTCTGATCATGTAAAGCATGCTTTAGTTGTACTTCGGAAACTTTTTGGGGAGGCTGCTGTACGTGATCCAGTTGCATCTGTAGTGACAGACTGGGGAAGGGATCCATTTAGCTATGGTGCTTACTCATATGTTGCTGTTGGGGCATCTGGAGAAGACTATGATACATTGGGGCGGCCTATTAACAACTGTTTATTCTTTGCTGGTGAAGCTACATGCAAGGAGCATCCGGACACCGTTGGAGGGGCAATGATGAGTGGGCTACGGGAAGCGGTGCGTATAGTTGACATACTAACCACAGGAAATGATTTTACAGCAGAAGTAGAAGCCATGGCTGCTGCAAAAAGGCATTCTGACAGTGAAAGGAATGAAGTTAGGGACATTGTTAGGAGACTTGATGCTATTGAGCTCACAAGTGTTCATAAGAGCTCTTTGGATGGGTCCCACATTGCGACAAAGGAGGGTTTACTACAGAATATGTTCTCCAACGCAAAGAGTACAGCTGGGCGCTTGCATCTTGCTAAAGAGCTCTTGAATCTTCCTTCTGACATTCTTAAATCTTTTGCTGGAACCAAAGAAGGGCTTAGCATTCTCAACTCATGGATACTGGTGAGTGCCTCACATGATCCATTCTCAATCAAGAAACATCGAGTTAACAACATAAAAGTTAGACAATTTCACTATTGTGTTTAAATATTTATACATACTGTTATGCTATTTGTAACAGGATTCAATGGGGAAGAATGGGACTCAACTGTTGCGTCATTGTGTTCGTCTTCTTGTACTTGTATCTACAGATCTACTAGCAGTTCGCCTTTCAGGTATTTTTTATGTTGCTGAATGTGTATACTTAATATGCCTTGATAAAATTTGCAATTCCTTTTAATTATTAATTGTTGGATATATGATCAAATATTGCTACTGGGCTCCTAATGTTATTGTTATTATGAATGTAGGTATTGGGAAAACTGTAAAAGAGAAGGTTTGTGTGCATACCAGCCGAGATATCCGTGCTATAGCGAGCCAACTTGTTAGCGTATGGGTTGAGATTTTTCGAAAGGAGAAGGCATCTAATGGTGGGCTGAAGTTACTGAGACAATCAAGTGCTGCAGATGCTTCCAAAAGCAAATCTCATTTAGCTTCTGGGAAACCCCCATTGCGTGCCCATCATACTTCATCTGATAACAGAGTTGTGAAGGGTGCTGGCAACCCTTTATCTGCAAATGCAAACAATCGAAAAGGGAATTCTGCAGCTGCAACAAAGCCGGAAAACAAACCGTCTAGTTCTCAAGGTTCTGCAGGAAGACAAAATTGTAAAGAGGAGGATAACAAAGATATACCCATGTCTGAAGAGGAACAAGCTGCTTTTGATGCTGCAGAAGCAGCCCGTGCTGCTGCTATTGCAGCTGCCGAGGTTTGTTTTTCTCGTCATCTTTCTTTTGTCTGCCTTTCTCATATCTCTTAAATAGCGCACACAGGGAAATCATGTAACAAAGACCAAAGGGTAAAGTTGGTAATTTGCTTTAAAACTTGCAGGCGTATGCATCATCTGGTGCCAAGTGCAACACAACCTTGCAGCTTCCGAAGATACCATCTTTTCATAAATTCGCCAGAAGGGAGCAATATGCACAAATCGATGATACTGAATTCCGAAGGAAGTGGGCTGGTGGCGTTATAGGGAGGCAAGATTGCGTATCTGAAATAGATTCTAGAAACTGTAGAGTGAGGGATTGGTCAGTTGACTTTTCTGGTGCCGGAGTCAATATTGAGAGTTCGAAAATGTCCGTAGATAACCGCTCACAGCGGAGCAACTCGAATGAAAATGCATGTCAGTTGAGTTACAGAGAGCACTCAGGTGAAAGTGCTGGTGTTGATAGCAACATATTTACAAAAGCATGGGTCGATAGTGCCGGTAGTGAAGGGATAAAAGACCATAATGCCATTGAACGATGGCAATCTCAAGCAGCTGCTGCTGATTCTGATTTCTTTCATAGGAGTATGCACGTAATGGACGAAGAGGACTCAAACATGAATCTGAAACCATCGATTCGTAGGCATGACGGCCTGGCAAATGAGAGCTCTGCTTCACAAGTTACCGTGAACAGGGAGTTGGTGGGTAATCAACCTCGAGGAGTAGACAACATCAAACAAGCTGTTGTTGATTATGTGGCATCGCTTCTTATGCCTCTTTACAAAGCAAGAAAAATTGACAAAGAAGGTTATAAGTCGATAATGAAGAAAACAGCCACAAAGGTCAGTCGTCTCTCCCTTACTCTAATCTGAATCCATCCAGATATAAATCAAAGAACATTTGAAATTTCATTCTTATACCTAAAACAAAATTCAAGAAAAGCCCTTAAATTGGTAAACAATTTCACAAGAAAACGAAGAGCACATCCCCTAAAATTCCATTGTCTTTAAAAAGCTACTATATAATTACAATGCTTATCAATTCGAGGGTTTATATTGGTACATAAGAACTATGCATGACCAGGGTGAAATGGTTATTAGCTAATAAGTTAGCTGAATTTTACCACCAGTACACATTAAGACTGTGTTTGGTGTGGACAGGACGACATGACAGTCCAAAAACTTCTTGCCTCACTTTTGGTGTGACTTTAGACTGAAACATTACAGGACTCGAGTGGGACAAAAATGCATTTTCTCAGTCCCACCAAATTAGGTGGAACAAAAATAGGAGATGGGACAAGATTGGCAAATTACTAAACTATCTATGTCAAATTAAAACCCTAAAACCTCCGGCACCTCTCTCTCCCCTTCTAGTCCCGTTGGCGTACCGAACGCACCTAAAGGCGTAGGGCTATATCTGTATGTAGATGCTATAGATTAGAGCAAATCAAATGCCAAATGTAATTGTTTATGATTTATTGGTCGCATATTTGGTAGTGTCAAATGTGACAATAGCTGAATTCGTATTTAGTTAATGCCACACACTCCAATTTTTGAATCTGGAATAGAATGTTTCTTGGGTATTTTGGTTAGAAACTGAAAGAAGTGGCAATGATGCTGTTCTTTGAATTGCCTTGTCTGTATATGACACGTCCTTGGTTGAATTTCAGGTCATGGAGCAGACCACGGATGCAGAGAAAGCAATGGCTGTATTTGAGTTTCTTGATTTTAAGCGCAAAAACAAGGTGTGCATTTGGATGTTTTTCGGTTTCCTAGGTTTAATGGCTGTATTTGCTAGCTCTACTCTGTTCAGATATCGTCTTTGTTATGTACAGTTAAATGAATCACTTAATTTCTTTAAACTCTGCAACGTGCAGATACGAGCATTTGTGGACAAGTTAATTGAGAGGCATATGGCTATGAAGACAGATGCCAAATCTGGATGTTCCTGAAGATCAACCGACAATATCTCTTGGTTCACAACTTCCATGATGCCAATAGTCGAAGCCTTTCAAGAATTCGAAAAAAAGGTGAAAAGAGGGACACAAGAGATATGTTATGTATTGAGTTAGGGATATGCTCACAGACACCATCAGTCTTCCTTCACTTTTGGTATGGGTTCCTTGCAATTCAAAATTGTAATTTAGTTAGAAAGTGAAAACCCATTTCTAGGACAATTTTTCCCCCATATCTTTCGTGAAATCTGTACAGGTTAGAATGACCCTGTTGCAACAAAGATTATTATACAAGACAATTTTTCTCTTCAAAGAAACTCCCATTTTGTTTCTTGATTTCTTCTTATGAGGATCTTTTCAAACTAACCACAAAAACCAAAACCAACCTCCGTTTTTCTTTCTTTTGTGTCGGGGGTACGAGACTTGAAATGTTACACGTCTCCCGTCTCTTGTTTTCTCTTTGTTTCTGCAGAAATGTATTGGTGTCGAGTTCCAGGAAGCTCTGCTGATCATCGATCACAAACTTACTTGAGAGGTTCGTTTTTAGCTTTACGAATCCTGAAAATGTACAATTTGTTTCTGCAGGCATGCGGTGATTTTGTGTTGGTGAAGAAATCGTTAGAAATAAATGTGGTGCTTAATTACTTACTGGTCTTCTGGATTTTGCCAGGAGAAAACCCATTAGAGATCGGAGGCATTTGGAACAATGCTATCTGTATGATCATAATTTCTTGTTCCCAGGTGCGTTTGGGAGCATGGAATTCAAGCTTCGAAATTTATGTAAATCTCATATATTTTAAAATTTAAAGCCTTTAATTCTCTCGTTCAAGAGTGCGTTTGGTATGCGGACTAGACGGAACTGGATGGGGGACCAAACGGGCGAGAGTAAGGTAGGCAGGTAAAAGAATTATGAAAGCTTTTAGGTTTTAATTTGACATGGATAGTTTAGTAATTTACCATCTAGTTCAAACTAGTTATTGTACTTTGATGGCTTGCCTACCAAACACATTCTAAAAGAGCCTTTTTGGGAAAAATAGAGGTTCCTACATGTATTTGATCAATATAGGATCCCAATGATTCATGATTCATCTCTAATAATGTTTCTCCACATGTGATCAAATAGTCTTTGAGATAATATCCCACACAAATAATATGGACTCTGAGGGTCTTTGGTCCAACAGTATATGTTAGAATTCAACTTCTCATAAAGCATTTAAAGTTCATCAAAGGTGAAGAGGGTGTGTCAGTTTATTATTATATATAAATATTATATAGTTTCAAAAAAATATAGTGCTTCTGGAAGGCATCATGGTACTGACTGGGAGTGTTATCTTGGGTTGCAAGTCTTGTATCATAATTAATTATTTAATTAATATGTAATATGACTAATATTAATATTTAATTACTCATTAAATAAAAGCAAAATGTTGCTGAGTTGGATCATTGTTGATATGCGAATCTTGTAAAAGAAAGAAGAAGATATTCGAAAAAATGGATTAAGATGTTTCTAGTTATTATTACCTTTGGACAATTCATACCATGGCTTTAAGCGTCTTTTGGGATTAATTTATTATAATTTAATGAACATTTATTGTTCTAATTTTTTACTGAAAATATAATTTAAAAAAAATATTATGGAGTTGTTTGGTGGTTGTTAAATGATTTGGTGCAGAATGATTAAGAGGCTTTCATGATATAATGCAAAATGAAATATAATTGTTTGGTAATTGCTTACAATGAAATTAGGGTGCTGAATGGTTAAGGGAGACACATGATACAAAATCATTCAGAGAGTTTTAGAACTATTAAGATGTAATTTTTTTTTGTCAAATAAGATTCACATATTAAAGATTCAGAGACTGCCTCTTAATACCAATTTTTTGGTTAACAATTGAACGAGACCCTAATTTGATATATAGGAGATACATAAGTCTTACACTTAGTAAATAAATACACGGGTTCATGTTTTAACAATCATAAAACATCACGTAAAACATACAAAACGCCAAACATCATATATCAATGCGATAACTCATATGTGCAATATCGCAAGCGGACATCCGTCATGAATGAAATCCTAGATCTCTAGGTCTCGTCAATGATCTTCCTCTTGAGGTTCTTTCTCAAGACACATCTGCGACTATATCCTATTGATCGTTTTTCCATGATCATACTTCACATGCACAAAAAACATATAGCAAAACGTGTTAATTACCAAAGGGTTATATTGACTTGGTGGTACATGAGTTGTTAGTTATAGAGTTCAACCTTTCATAAGATTAAGGATTCAAACCTTATAAATGTGAAGAATGTACGTTAGTATTTGCCGTATATAAATGTGATACCAACTTATAACACCCTATTTTTAGGATAACATTTCTACAGAAATTTCGGCATGACCTATTTGGAAAATCATGTTTTGCCATTTTTTTAAATCTGTCTGCAATTGTAGAATATGATTCCCAAAAGATTAGGCTATATATAAATCACATCTATAAGCTGGTCTATATACATACAACTAATTTTCAAGATGACGCTAATACAATTCCCGTCAAAATACTACCTGCAATAAATCATTTTTTTTTCCCAAATACAGACTATTATAGAAGTGAAGGTATTCAAACATGTTTATCAAACTTTTATAAACATGTTTGAATAGTTCATACATCAATAGTTCTCCATGAATTTGAACCCCCTCATAAAACTTCATATTTTTGCTCAGCTCGGACTGGAGTAAACTCTAACATTAAAGATTTCACCTATGTGCATAAGAAATGTTGGGTTAATCTTTGAAACATCTTTATACATGTTTAACACATATATCCATTTCATTTCAACCTTTAATTTTTGTAATACACGTAATTTTCTAAAAAACGGTAGGAGAATGGTCGGAGAAACGGTCGGAGAATGTCCAGGAAAAGATCGGAGAATGGTCGGGAAAATGGTCAAAAACTGGTCGGGAGAAACAGAATGGTCAAAGTAGCTTAAGATCCTGTTTGAGGGATTAGCTAACGCTGGTGACCCATCCATGCGACCCTAGGGTCGCGGACAAGGGTCACATGATCCACCTGATGGTTAAAATCATGATTTTTTTTGGGGTTTTCTTCATTTGGTCATAAGTTCTTCATTTCTTATCTGACTTGGGCGATTCTTGAGGCTATAGATTCGTATTTTGAAGCTTTTCCAGGGGAGATTGAAGATGATTAAAGTTTATTCATGATTGGAGGTTTCTAAGAGTTGAAAGGTAAGACTTGTATCTTCATTTTTTTAATTTGGGTTTGGTCACTTTGCATCCTCAACTTCCCTTTCCTCTTTGTGGTGTTTTGCTAAATCTTGGGAGTTCAATAGAGTTTTCTTGAAATCTATACACCATAGATCTGGAAGTCTATCTTATGGATCATAAGTATCCACCGTTGGAAGTTAAAGATTTGGATTTGGAACTTAGTTTAACTTACGATAGTAAAGTGAGTTCAAGTTACTTTATGAAAACTTTGTATATGCCAAAATGCGTATTTTGGATTCTTAAAGCGTTTTCTTTAAAATTTATCAAATATTGTTGGTTACTTGACGAAATTACATCTCCTGTACACTTGGTTTTATAAAATCTTGATACGTACATATATTTGGGGTTTTTGGGACATATTGATGATAAATAATAAAATATGTAGATTTTGATGATTTATATCTCATATGAGGTTATTTGATGTTAATAAACTTTTGATATTTGAGTTTATAAATCATTGGAAAAATGCATATGATTGATTTTTGTTGGATTTTGTAGTGTTTTGGGTCATGAGACTTGATATACTATTTGAATACATTTAGGGTTTATGGTGACTCGAGTTTGATTAGTAAAACAAATTGGAGAGCTTATTGGCTTGTATTTGAACAAATTTCGTCGCACTTTTGAGTAATAATGATGGTATTCAAACCACTTGGTGTATAAGTTGATACACGTAAGATATTCACATTTTATTGGTTTATATTGGCTTTTATTGATTATTCGAATGAGTCGTTGAGTATTTGGCTTGGTTTTAATTCACATGCGTTTTGGGAACATTTGTTCAATTTAATTTTCTTAGTGTTGAGTTTTCAAACATGATATGCAATATGACATATTTATTTTGAAATTACACGTTTTGAGTGTGTTGGTCATTCAATTAGAGTCATGTAATTTAGACTGCAGTGCAATGGATCAATAGGCATAAGAATATGATAACTCAAACCTTGAGAAGATGTGTTTTCTCAAAAAATTGATGACTACCTTCGAGTCGTTCTTTGGGGTTGCAATTGCTTCGATCCACTTGGATACATAGTCCACCGCTACCAAAATGTATTCATTCTTGTACGATGGTGAAAACGGGCCCATGAAGTCGATGCTCCAAACATTGAATATCTCCACCTCCATGAATATTTTCGTCGGCATTTCATTCCGTTTTTGAGATATTATCAACCTGTTGGCATCTATCACAACAAGATATGAAATTTTAAGCATCTTTAAACAAAGATGACCACTAAAATCTAGAGTGTAGAATCTTTGACGCAGTGCGATCAGTGCTGAGGTGACCCCCGCATTTGAGAGAGTGGTAATGCTTCAGTAATTTGATTTCTCTTTATCCGGCACACAACATATAATCATGTCATCTCCACAATGCTTTTACAAACACATCTCTTTCCAAAAGTAATACTTCACATGGGTGAAACTTTGTGTCTTTGATGTGAGCTTAGGCCATAAGGAGCCACACCACTTGCTAGGTAGTTCACCATATCAACATACCAAGGGTCAGATACCCCTATGGCATACAATCACTCATCCATAATGAACTCATTGATTGGAATAACATCATCTTGCTCCATTCTCTCTTGCCATGAAAGGTGATCTACCACAATGTTTTTCGTCCCCTTCTTATCAATGATCTCGATGTCAAAATCCTGCAAAAGCGAAATCCAATGAATGAGTCTCAGATTTGCATCCTTCTTAGACATAATATACTTGAGTGTTGAGTGATCTATGTAAATAATGTCTTTAGACCCAACAAGATATGATCTAATTTTTTCACTGGCGAACACGACTGCTAGTAATTCCTTATCTGTTATGGCATAGTTAATTTGTGCCTCATCTAAGTTTTTGCTAGCATAGTATATCACATGAAGCTTCTTGTCTTTCCATTGGCCTAGAACAGCTCTCAGGCGAAACCACTTGTGTTGCATATGACTTCAAGGGCTAAGGTCCAATCTGATGCTATGAGAATTGGTGCAGATGTGAGTTCCTATTTCAACCTATCATAGGCTAGTTCACAACTTTTTGTGAAC